CCCCAAAACCCCAAAACCCCAAAACCCCAAAACCCCAAATTTGGGTAGGATTATTGAAATAAAAATATATGGCTATTCAGAGTGATTTTGTGTATGATGTGGGGGCTGATGAGGAGATTAACAATGTGAAGTTGGTGAAAGGTAAGAAGAATGAGAGATTTATAGAGCTGGAGAAGTTTCAGGAGCCCAAGAAGATCAGCTGAGAGCTTGATCTTGAGGAACAGGCTATGAAATATATTTTTGCGATGAAGTTTTTCAAAGCTAAATTCGCTGACAGAGACATGAATGGTATGGCTTTTATGTAAATTATTATGTAGCTACCAAAAACCTACTCAGAATTGGGAGAAGAAGCTTAAAATCGCCAATGAAATTAGATCCAAAAATTATCTTAAGTCACCCAAAACGGCACCAAATTACTGAAACTAACGGCATCAAAGAATTTAGGACTATGGAAAATAAAAGCGATGAGAGTGATATTCTTGAAAATAGTGTTTCAACCGAGTCTGAAAAGACTAAAGTCATCAAGAAGAAACAATTCAACTTAACGTACGACAGTTACCATATTACCTAGAATCTACTTAGGTTTCCTCAGTTTTAATCTTCTCAAACTTGTCTAATTCACATCAGCTATACACTCGAGCAAAAGAAGAAGACTCAGCGATGCCCTAAGACCACCATAAAAGAGCATCAAAAGGTAAGCTTTCCTTAATCCCTGCTTTAGAAGCTCATAAAGCGAGCAAGTAGCAAATGAATCCGTAATACTCAATTTCAGCCAAAATACAAACTAGCTTCTGAGATCGGAAAATTGAAGATGATCCAAAGGAGGAACTTGAACATCATTCATGAGAAGTTCAATCAGATATACTCGAAGGATATCTTTCTCCAGTCGAGCAGGAAGGCAAGGCCGTCCTGCTCGACAAAGAGAGAGACTATCAAGAAGTATCTAGGCTTGAAGCCTGTCCGGACGTTGTTTCAGCCTAATTCTAGATTCAGAAATACAAGAAGGAGTTGTAATATGGAGTCTCCCTCCATAATTTCACTGTATTGTTATACCTATTTACCCGTTTAGCATTGAGCATACTAAGAAGGTCAAAGGAGCACAATACCTTCAGAAAGTTAACACCTTAAAGCATGGGAGAGTGGTTGGGTCAAAATCAAACCTCAAGCCAAGGGATATCACACAGAGATTTTTTGAGTAAACTGGTCGAAATTTCAACATTGTTCTACCAAAAAGGGGTTTTGGGGTTTTGGGGTTTTGGGGTTTTGGGG